CTTTGGGTTTGGCTTTCTCTCTTCTTTTTATGGATGAATAACATTTTCTATCACGTTGTTTTTCTGGTTACTCTGGGAACCAGGCTCCTTTTGAATAAGCATCATCCTTTGTCCCAGGTTCTCTGGCCTTTACTTTCTCTTTCCTCATCTCTGCTAGAACATGAGATACACATTCCAGGAACCCTGTGGGGTACAGGGGAGATAGTGTGGGGTGGGACAAAAAGCTTCTGAAATCTTAAGAGCAGGATCACCTGGGAGAAGATGCTTCACTGCTTTGAGTCAGATTCCCACCTGGAAAACATGGACAATTGTGACCCTAGTGAGAATCCAGTAAGACTTTGCTCACTGACCCCTCCCCTACAAATTTCCTCCTGTCTACTGTCCCCTCCCTCAGTGAGAACCATTCCCCATCTTGTGTCCCTACTGTGGGGTTTACCAACTTCAATCACAATATTCAGGCACACTTGTTGCTATTTCTGTCTCCCCTCTCCAGATTAAAAACTTGCCTTATTTATTTTAGGAATCCCTAAATCATGCTGGCCAATGTGTTTTATGTAATGGGTTCTAATAAAATGTCTGCTGAAGGACTGACCTGTTAATCGACTAGTTGATTGACTGAATGGATGGTTACAAATGAAATCAACTTATAAAGCTCGAATCACCAGAAAAATGTAAGTCGTTATTATGTGGAATTCCATGAATCTGCTTTGAACTTAAGGTAATTAGGCCATTGCTCAAAGTCAAGGTGTAAGGGACTTCACAAGTGTTATTTCAGAGCATCTTTCGTTTTTGTTTAATCCAGACAGCCACCAAGAATTCACAAACTGTACAATAATAACACACTAAAAAACCAGTCCATGCAACAGAAATATTGAAAAATACTCTGCTGGTTAAGTTAGCGTTGCCTCTAAGAGACACAACAATGAAACAACACATTTGAAGTGCTTCCTTGGGTACAAACTGGTATCCTGGTGAGACCATTAATGCAGCAGGCCAACACAAAACACTGAGGTGACTGTCCTCAGATGCCCATTTCGTTTTTTATCAATTATACTGGGTATGAGAATACTTACAAGAAGTACTTGGGTTTGGAGGTGGGTTTTTTTGTCACTATTCAGTTCATAAATATTGGACACCAGCTGCGTGTTGGCCAAATCAAGAAATGCAAACACAGGTTTCAAGACGGGGTGTGGGTTGCATGAGAGGGTCTTGAGAAGAATGCAAGGATCATAACCAAGGCCGAATGTAAACCGTGAAACACACAGGTAACTCCCCGTGTAACGGGTCTAGAGACAGAGAGAAATTAACAGGAACTTGGAGAAGATCAGAATAGACTTCATGGAGAGGGTAGTATCTCTGATAAAAGTTAAGCTTTGAACAATATGTCAATGCCCAAAGATAGGGAGGATAGTACAGTAGGGCGGGGGGGTAGTGGGGGTTCTTGGAGGGGTGGGGTATGATGTTACACAAAAAGCCCAGAATGGAAGATCAGCTCCCATGGCTCTTTTTCATCATTTCCAGAAATTTCCATTCTCCCGGTATACTGATCTGACTCTGCTAATAACCAATTCAAAAATAGCTGCATTTAATGTAAAATAACACCAATATTATTACTGTGAAGATCTCTCCCTTCCACAACAGCGATGAATATTATTTTGAAGTAATGCATCAAATACTATATTTATATAATATCCCTAGAGAAATTATTCATAATTACAATACATTTGGGGTATACTGTAATTATATTTTTTAATTTTTATTAGCATTCAAAGCAAATACTTCTCAGCCTTTTCTGAAAATGATCTGTACTTAACATGGAAAAACCTTTTTTTTTTTTTTTTTTTTAAGATTTTATTTATTTATTTGACAGAGACACAGTGAGAGAGGGAACACAAGCAGGGGGAGTGGGAGAGGGAGAAGCAGGCTTCCCGCCGAGCAGGGAGCCTGATGCGGGACTCGATCCTGGGACTCCAGGATCATGACCTGAGCCGAAGGCAGACGCTTAACAACTGAGCCACCCAGGCGCCCATGGAAAAACCTTTTAATTATTAGAGTATAACTTCCTGCCAACTTCTACAACATTTTGTCCTTGCCAAATTCTGAGGTCTAGCATTAGAACAAGCTGCTTTAGAATATTCTTAAGAGCTGAGAAATGCAGCTGTGTAACTGGATGACATTCCTTAACTCCAAATTTGAGAGAGCAGTCTCTTCAATCTGAGATAGAAATAAAGAATTGTTTTAATAGAATGTCTCCCAGACTGGTGTTCTGCCAGATATGAATAGGCATTTCACACAAAATGGGACATGTTAGTGTAACAAAGTTAATTAAAAGTTTTTGTTTTCTCTACAAGACTGCTCAGTCATTAATATGTTTTTTTTTTTTAAGATTTTATTTATTTATTTGACAGAAATAGTGAGAGAGGGAACACAAGGAGGGGGAGTGCGAGAGGGAGAAGCAGGCTTCCCACTGAGCAGGGAGCCCGATGTGGGACTCGATCCCAGGACCCTGGGATCATGACCTGAGCCGAAGGCAGACGCTTAACCGACTGAGCCACCCAGGCGCCCCTGTTTTTTTTTTTTCTTAATTTTATTCATGAGAGACAGAGACAGAGAGGCAGAGGGAGAGGGAGAAGCTGTGGGACTCAGTCCCAGGACCCTGGGATCAGGACCTGAGCCAAAGGCAGACGCTTAACCCACTGAGCCAGCCAGGCGCTCCATGAGTATGTTCTTATAAATGGTGAATCTCTAAAGAAGGGACACATGCCAACATGCTTACTTTACAACGAAACGTTTTTTTTAGCCACATTCCCAGAATGTTGTTTCAAGAAATACCAATCTGAGAAATACTTATCCAACAAATTACTCTAGATTAAAGATAATTCACAAGTCAGCTTTGGGAGGTCAGTGGACCTCCACAGAAACTTTCCCCATCATCCAACAAAGAGCATGCTTAGCAAAACAAACAAACAAAACCCCATAAAAAAATAGAGTATGAATCTGAAAACAAAACAAAACAAAAATCGTATGAACTGTGTGGTAAATGCCACTTAGGTAATTCTTTTAAGACATCAGAACAAAAACTTCAATCGTGAATTGCAAAGAGACACTGAGATTTTCCTGTAGTATAAAACGTATTTGATGTGCTGATAAATTGGTAGTTACCATGAGATAAGTAGATACACAAGCTACGTTATAGGGGTTTCCTCACTTGCTGAGCACTTGGCATCAGAATCTCTCTTTAACAACTTTACAAAATTCACTAACCAAATAAAAAAAAAAAAATCACTTCAGTGAATCTGCATATGCACGCCAGAAAAAACATTTCGGCAGCACATAACCCACCCACCCGGAAAAGTCGCCTCTGGGCTTTTCTCCAGACAGGCTCCCACACTCTTTGATCTACAGTATTGTGTAGATAACTGTAGGTAACACGTATAACTGTCACCTCTCTCGTGTTACTAAGGGAAAGTTCTACCAACAGAGGAGAAAGCTAGAAAGGCCCGTGAAGAAAGCAGGTATGTCTAAAAGGGATGGAAAAGCCCAAAAATTAGAAGTGAAAAGACATAAGCGTGGCCATACCCGTGTCCCCATCTGCCAAGGCTATGACTTTTTTTTCCTATGTGTGAAAACTTTGGAAGATATCTGAAGTTGCGGTTGGTTCCAGAAAACTTCACTGTATTGTGTAAGTACGTGAGAGTGATTTAGTGATTTGGGAGGAAGCTGTTCTGTGTTTTCCTAGAAATGCTTTCCAATTTTTCCCATTTAAAATAATAGGATTATAGGTTACCACTATTCAAAATTTTAACATCTAAAATCTTTGCTCAGATTTGGAGAAGGAAAGATTCCTGAACATGTATTTGAACTATTCACAGAACAGGTGGTTTGACACCTGCCGAAATAAAGAGTTAGTCTTTTTCCGAATAGGCAACTTGGGAGTGTAGGACTTTAATCCCGCAATACTGCCATTACTTAAAATATTTTTCAACACCTCTTCTAAAATTGCCTTTAGTTTGTGGCATAGACTTTTAAATCTCCTCGGTGGTGAGAAATTTTCAGCAATTATGGGTGGATTTGATTTGGGGACTAGACAAAAAGACATTCAGAGCCAGATCTGGAAAATAAGGTAAAAAATGTTTCTTCCACGAAGTGGTATTTTGCTCACCTGGAATCTCCGTGTGCAGCAATGACATCACATTTCTGGTGTGACTTATAAGGTGGTTTTGAAGGCAGTGGGATAGGAGGAATTCCAAAGTGTTTTTACGAATGGCAGCAACATTAGAAAAGACACCTTTTTTCCAAAATGAATGTGAAGAATAAAACTTCTTGTTATAAATAGATAGGGTGGTCCGAAATAGTTCCCATTACATCCCCCTCCCCCCCGCATTTTGTTCAAAACAACTTGTCCACTTAAGGCAAGTCCCTAAAGAACTGGATACCTACCTATTTTCATCCAAATGGGTTATTTCCCTTTCAAGTATTATCTGGAAGGAGACTTACTCTGTCTTCTCTGAATCCCTTCCATGTATAGGACAGAAAAAAAACCAGATAGGAGATTTAAAAAAAAAAAAAAAAGCCACAGTTGGTGGATGGTGGATAGGAAGTGGAAGGAAGGTAGACCGCAGGTATCATCAAACTTTTTTTTTCTTTTTTCTTTTTTTTTTTTTAGAGAATTTTTTTTTTTTTTAAAGATTTTATTTATTTATTTGAGAGAGAGAGAGCATGAGAGGGAGGAGGGTCAGAGGCAGAAGCAGGCTCCCCGCCGAGCAGGGAGCCCGATGCGGGACTCGATCCCGGGACTCCAGGATCATGACCTGAGCCGAAGGCAGTCGCTCAACCAACCGAGCCACCCAGGCGCCCCAAACTGTCTTTTAACCTGGAGGCCCATCAGATCCGCAAGGCAGAGAATGTTTCAGACTCTCCCAAGACCTCTTAAAGCAACTACATCAACCAGTGATGGTTTTCCAACACAGTATTTTGTTTTTTACTTGAATTTCCAGGAACCTTCAAGCTCCAGTCCTTTTGGCCCGGAGTGATAAAGCAATGGGCATGGAAGACACCTGCCTTCCAGTCTCCATCCCGGGCCTGCAGGTGGGAACGTGACCCCCGAGGCAGAGAATTCTGTTTTGTTCACTAGTGAGTCCCAAGAGCTTATAAGAGACCCTTGTAGATACTCAATAAATACTTGCAGGGAAAGGGGTTCATCTCTCTAGGCCTCAATTTCCTTATCTGTTAAGTAAGGATGCTGGTTTAGACCAAGAGATTCCAATCATAGGGGTCCAGTAGTTACTAACAGAGCCTCCTCTTTCTTCTTCCCTCTCCTTTCCCGGGGTAGAAAGCTCTCCCCAAGCTAGACCCAAGGGCAGAAAATCAGTTGTGTCTTCCTTGTAGCGGATTACCATTTCTATTATCAATGGGCACTTCACGTTCATAAACTCAACATTTTCCAGAAATGAAAATAAAGGGGGACAGAAACTACTGGCCACCCACAGAACATCCATGCTTTTCTTTTCTCGGGAGCAGAACTCAGTTTTGCTGGAACTATCCTATGTTCAGCTAAAACAAACAGAAAACTTTTCCCTACCTCCCCTGGGGTTACTGTAGTTAGATGACAGGGCTCTGGGCTAAGAAGAAAGCAGTAACATTTCCTAAAAGAAGAACAGAATCGCCCGACAGCACCACATTTGGCCGGAGGCATGGGTACAATGCTGAAATGCTGGAGGTGTTGTATTTGTCACACGGGTCACGCCAACATGGTCAATATCCCCCAGCATTGACCCCCTGATGAGGAAGTTCTTTATGCCTAGTTCTTAAAGTCAAGCAAATGATTCCTAAGGGAGCCCAGAACTGCTAAGAAGAACTTTCTGGAGCCTTTATTGATAGCATTGATCCATCCGTAGCCCTTTTGGGGACCAGAGTTCTGAAGCAAAACCTTTGGGTATCAACAAGAGCAAGGCCAGAACGAACACTCCTCACCCACCTCGCCACCGTGACTGTTTTGTTTTCTAGAAGCTTCTGGGCACTGCGCGTCACCCAAAGGTACTGACAGGCCCATAGCTGAAGTCTAGCTCATCTTGTTTTGTGTGAGAATCATTTTTATGTCCTTCCCCCCAAATCCTATGAATTAAAGATGATCCTTATGAACACAAATATGGCGTTTTACTCTCTTAGAAAGACAGGGTTTCATTCCGTGAATAGGTAGCACCTGTTCCCATCCTTTGGCTTCTCCTCCTCCTCATCCAGAGTTCCATCCATGCGTGACACAGTCACTTTTTGGCTGTAGCTCAATAGAGCCAAGCCAGCAAAAACAGGGGAGCTCATCAGTAAGGTAACAGAATTTTCTTCATGCCTTAGAAATTTTACTCCTGCGTACTCACCAAACTCAGCACAAGAATTTAGGAAGGAAGAGATATGGCCAATTGTCAGGTTCAGGAGAGAAATCCATGAAAGTAGCTGGGAAATTTTACCCGAGGATGAGTTCTTTAAAAGAAGGCATTTATTTAAGGCAATGGAAGGGTCGATCTTGTTTACATTTAACATTTTAATGGTTGGAAGGTTAAGGTCTTGGAGCAAGAATTGTTGCTACTCACCTACAAGCAACTGATTGTATTTTAGTGAACCTGACCCTCTTACAGGTATTTAAGGAGGCCTATTATAATGTCAAGCCCTGCTCTTTTTCCTGGAAGGAGGAAAGAGAAGAATTAACTCTACAAAATGGCACCGAGTCACAACAAAGCCAGCCTACCCATCTGCCTTCAGGGGACCTAAAAAGAAAGAACAGACAGCGAGTCTGAAAAGGACAGAGGGGAAGGAACACCTGAGAAGTGAAATTTCATGCTAAGTTCGCTGCAGAGAAACAGGAGATAGACTCTCATGAGGGGACTTGAGGTAGTTCCTCCCATTACAAGCCAGGGTTCTGTGGCTGATTTCTCTTTCTCTCTCTGCCCCTGTTCCCCCTCTGCTCCCAAACTCCTGCTCGTCCCTGCAGGATGCAGGTAATTAATAAGCACCCTGAGATGCAGGGCCTTGTCATCAGGCCTCAATGTCTTCCCGAATGTCTAAGATAACATGAATTTGGGGTTTTCTAAACCAGTTGCACACATGGACCCCAAAAAAGAAAACTTAACACTTACAACTACTATCGATGGCCTTTTCTCAGTGAAACGTGTTTTCTTCCATCTCATGCTGCTATTTAAATAGCCAGTTCCACTGGAAATGGATCCTCGGGAGAGACTGCCATGCTGTCCAGGGTGTGGAGAGAAGGCAGTTGGTCTCCAAGGGCGCAGATACCAGTGCCCAGAGTCAGAGCTGCCTCAGGAGTGGCCGCCTCCCTCCTGCACAAAGCCAGCCCCAGGTGGATACAGCCTAGATGAAAGAAAACAGGTGAGGAAGAGCAGGTCGGCAGCAGAAAGCACCTGAGCCCCATCTTTAGACCAAATAGGAAGTTAAAATAATAGCATGGCAGAGACGAAAGGAAGAACCTTCTGGCGTCAGACCCCAATTCCCTAATATGAGCTTTCATTTTTTTTTTTTTCTACAAAAGATGCTCTCAGCTATGGGGACACGTTGGAATCACCCAAGGAGCTTTAAGGAAAAAACCTGATGTCTGCTCCCATGCCAAACCAATTAAATAAGAATATCTGAGGGAAAGGGGCAAGCTCTGGGGGAGGGGGTGCAAACAACTCCCCCAGAAGAGGCTAATGTGACAGGAGGGTCCACTCTCCCTCGACTCCATCATCCCCACCTTGATCAAGCATTTGACATTCGACACACCTCCGAAGACGAAGAATTCACTGACCTTCCACGGAATTCCATTCCACGTTGAGACCATTCTGAGGTTTGAAGGTTTTCCTTATGTGGAGGCTCCACCCACCTTGCTTTAAGGGCCACCAATTTGTTCTTGCTCCGCCCACAAGGGGCACGGAAATCCACATAACATACACATCGAATCTGGGAAGGGTACAAACCCAGAGGAATTTCTTTGATAGTACAGTTGGCAAGCTGAGGGCAAATTGAAGAGAATGAAATCCAACAGGTATCAGCATCCTCTCTTTTATTATACTTAGTGCTAAGAAACACAGGCAAGGGCAGAGGATGGGGGAGAGAGGGCTTTAACAGCAGGAGTGCTGTGAGGGGCCTCCAGCGCGGGGATGGAGGGTTGGGGGGTGGTACCTCGAGCTGAGTCACCTGGGGGATGTAGCTGCCCATTCAGCTCATGCTCTCCCAGGCTGCATTTGCAGACGAGTGAGCCCCAGAAAGGGGCGGGGGGCGCCCGGGCACTCAGGAAACACACCAGCAGCTGAGGACTAAAGGGACCACCCTTCAAAAGAGATCTAGAAAACCAGAGAATGTGAACCCCATGGTGATAGATTTTTAAATGTCTTCAATAAAGAACTGTTGGCAGGAAAGCTGCTGAAAAAGACAACATTAAAATGGCAAGAGGAAACTCACATTTGAGTCGAGGCTCTGGGCCAGGTGTTCCAAATCCATCCCTTCCCGGAAGGATCAAGACAGCCTCTGAGGTTACCTGATGATCTAAAAGGAAGGTGTTTCCCTGGTTTCAAGGACTAAAACCAGGCAGGGGGAGTAGACTTGAAGCTTAAAGGAGACAGGTACCTTCAACTCCTTTTTCTTTGCGTTTTGGGTCTCCTCGGGAGAGGACTCAAGTAATCATACTCCTCAGTTGGTGGGACTCAGTCCACTGGTCTGGAAAGACTCCTCGCTTACTTATTTGCTCATTAACTCCTTTATTGGTTTATTCGCATGTGTATATATATATACTTTTTTAAGATTTTATTTATTTTTCGACAGAGAGAGACACAGCGAGAGAGGGAACACAAGCAGGAGGAGCGGGAGAGGGAGAAGCAGGCTTCCCACCGAGCAGGAAGCCCGATGCGGGCGGGGCTTGATCCCAGGACTCTGGGATCATGACCTGAGATGAAGGCAGATGCTTAATGACTGAGCCACCTAGGCGCCCACATGTATATATATATTTTTTTTTTCTTCAGTGTGATACTATTTTTTTATTTATTTTTTTATTATGTTAATCACCATACATTACATCATTAGTTTTTGATGTAGTGTTCCATGATTCATTGCTTGCGTATAACACCCAGTGCTCCATTCAATACGTGCCCTCCTTAATATCCATCACCAAGGTAACCCATCCTCCCACCCCCCTCCCCTCTAGAACCCTCAGTTTGTTTCTCAGAGTCCATAGTCTCTCATGGTTCATCTCCCCCTCTGATTTCCCCCCTTCATTCTTTCCTTCCTGCTATCTTCTTTTTTTTCTTTTTAAATCCCACTAGTATTTCTCTCCCTTTCCAAAAGCAACAGTGTATATTCTTTTCTTTGCCTATGTCCTTGAAGAATTTTGTAGGTGTCCTGTACATTTTCCTTTCCTCTATTTTGCCATTTTCCACTAGAGTTTGTACATTTCTTGTTAATTTGCAGGAGTTCTCTGTGTGTTCTAGATATCAGTCCCTTTTGGGCCTTCGCCACTTTATTTACAGTCTGTTAACACTCTAATCTTTGTAATAATAACATTTCCCAGATGTCATGAAAATCATATTTTTTTTGGTATGGATTTTACATCCGAAGTTTTACTAAATCCGTCCCTACCTTAAAGTCGTGACAAATTCTCCTACATTTTCTTCCTATAACGGTATCATTTCAGCTTTCATATTTAAATTTTAATTCATCTGGAATCTACCATGGTGAGTGGTGTTAGGATAAGATCAGTCTTATTTTTCTCCTTATAATGAGTCTGTTTTTCCAGTATCATCTACTAGATGATCCTTCCTTTCCCCCATTGACTTGTGTGCCACCTCCATATTATATCAATTTCTAATCTGTGTCTGAGTCTGTCTTAAGCTCTTTATCCTGTTGCATCGTTCTATTGGTCTGTCCTTGCACCAGTAACACACTGGTTTTATTACTATAGCTTTGTAGTAGGTCTTAACAGGAATGTTACCCCCACTTACTCTTCTCTTTCAAGATTGGCTTACTATGAAAAACTTCTGGAGATGTGAAGTACAACATTGTGCATACAGCTAACAATATTCTGTATGCTTAAAAAAATTGTTACAAGGGTAGATCCCTTATGATGTGTCTTCCAGAATTTTTTTAAAAAGAGCCTGGCTGAGGCACCTGGGTGGCTCAGTCAGTTAAGCACCTGCTTTTGGCTCAGGTCATGATCTCAGGGTCCTGGGATTGAGTCCCATGTCAGGCTCCCAGCTCAGCGGGGACCCTGCTTCTCCCTCTGCCCCTGCCCCTCCACCCTGCTCATTCTCTCTCCTGCTCTCTCTTTCAAATAAATAAAGTATTTTAAAAAAATAAAAAGAGCCTGGCTTACTATTTGTGGACTTCATTCTGTATAAATATTAGAGTAAAACTTGATAAGTTTACTAAAAAAAAAAAATCCCAGTGGAATTTTTATTGAGATTGAATGGAAATTAGAGATCGTTTAGGAGGAATCACCATCTTCATGTTATCAAGTGATCTCGTCCAAGAACATGAACCGTCTCTCCATTTATTCAGATCATCTTCTATGTTCTCTATTTACATCTTAACTTTTCTCCATAGAGCATGTGCATACTCTTGAATAAGTTAATTCCTAGATCCAGTCTTTCTTGCAGGAATTCCTCAAAGTGGACTGATAAGAGAAATGGTATCACTACACCGCGGTTCGCCCTTATCGGTAGGGAATATGTTCCAAGACTCCCAGTAGACGCCAGAAACCACAGACAGTACTGAATCCTCTATGTATATGTTTTTTCCTCTACATACAGTCTGATGATAAAGTTTAATTTCTAGATTAGGCACAGTAAGAGATTAACAACAATAACGAACAGTAAAATAGAACAATTATGACAATATACTACAATGAAAGTTCTGTGAATGTGGTCTCTCCCGATCAAAATATTTTTTCCTTGCACTACATTCAACCTCCTTCTTGGGGCCATGCGAGATGACACCACGCGGTGTGGTGACGTGAAGTTAGGTGCATGAAGCAGGCTTGTGCTGTAGCATTAGGCTACGCACGGTACTGGCCAGAAGGTGCACCCTCTGCTTCCGGACCGGGTTGACCTCGAGTAACTGAAACCACATAAAGTAAAACCATGGAGGGGCACCTGGGTGGCTCAGTCGTTAGGCATCTGCCTTCGGCTCAGGTCATGATCCCAGGGTCCTGGGATGGAGCCCCGCATCGGGCTCCCTGCTCAGCGGGGAGCCTGCTTCTCCCTCTGCCCGTTCCCCTGCTTGTGCTCTCTCTCTGTCTCAAATAAATAAATTTAAAAAAAAAATCATTTGCTTTGGGGCACCTGGGTGGCTCAGTCGTTAAGCGTCTGCCTTCGGCTCAGGTCATGGTCCCGGGGTCCTGGGATCGAGCCCCACATGAGGCTCCCTGCTCTGCGGGAAGCCTGCTTCTCCCTCTCCCACTCCCCCTGCTTGTGTTCCTTCTCTCGCTGTGTCTTGCTCTGTCAAATAAATAAATAAAATCTTAAAAAAAAAAAAAAAAGTAAAACCATGGATAAGGGAAGCCTACAGTGTAAAAGAGAAGCCTCTGGCTAATATGGGATTTTACCAGTACATTCGTATCTGGTGCTATCTGGCAAGAGCAGCTGCATGCAAAGTAGCTAACCCGGCTGGCATGCGCCCCTCCAGTCAGGACCCTTCACGTCCTTGGTCTCTCCTCCATCCCAGGTGTGTGAAAGCCAGCACAGACTTAGAACTGTAAGCTCTGCACCCCAGACCTGAGGTCTCTGTTTCTGCCTGAGGTTGCTGTTCGCCTTCCCAGTTTAGCACCTCAAGCAGATCAAGGTCTCAGGGAAGCCCGTGAAGAAGCAGATTTCAGCTCAGTGCCCGGAAGGACTTGTGTCCCAGCTGTCCTAGGATGGAGTGGCTCACAGGTAGTTACAACCTCACCTCGGAGAAGAGGGCATTCCCTCAGCCTGGTCAGAGAGGAGCGATGGAGCCGTGTCCTGCAAACCGTGGGCTCTGTGCTCACTGCCAGTTCTGATGTTTGGGGGTTCCCAGGGTCCAGGTGCCTCTTTTTGTCACCCAGGCTCAGCTTCCTTTACAGCTCTACTCCCCTTGTGAATCAGGGGTCCCCGCCTAGCACTCGAGTCTGGAGTATATAGAGCTCTAATCTGCTGGGGACGTGGGGGGAAAGAAGGGACAAAGGAAGGACCTGGCTCCCTTGTGGCACATCTTTGGGCGCAGTGGGCATCACCCAGGCTCCAAAATTCCAGCTGGTATTGAGGAAACCACACATCCCTGAGAGGGGTGCACCCACATACATCCTGTGAACCTTAGTCATTAGCCTAGATCCATAAAATGAGCTGAGCAGTTTTCACTCTCTTCCATTGTCTGCAGTGTCTAGTATGAGTTAGAAAAAAACTGTTTCTTGAAAGTTTGGTAGAATGTACCGTAAAAACAATCTGAGCCTGGGGTTCCAGGGAGCAGAAGCTGTTAAATTCCATTTCAACTGACTTAACCTTTATGGTTTTATTCAGGTTTCCCATATGTGTGCTAGTTTTGCCCTCATATTTTTCAAGGAACATAGCCATTTCATCTGTTTTAACTTCGTTCGCATAGGGGAAAGTAAATCCCATAATTGGATAAGTGGAGTGCACCCAAACAGAAGAAATCAGTTGTGTAAATGAAGAACTGTTGAATTGTGAGGCGAACCTGCGCCACCAGGGAGGGGCCAAGGTTTCCAAGTTACAACGGTCCCATTTATCGGGCTCGCTGCGATGTGATGCCATCTAGTGGTCCTTGTCTGCTCTGGCTTAAATGCACATTGGAATAAATCTGGGACCCGAGGCTGGCCAAAATTTCCAGGTCAGTGTTAGCATTTCCAGAAGTTTCCCTGGTTGCCCAATGCTGCAGATTTGGGCTAAAGAGATGCCTGCTCCCTCTGAAGCCCCTTCAGTGGTGGCCTACAGATGCCCCCACCTTGATCTCACGCCCCGACAGTGGCCTTCCCAGAATAGATGAAAACTTGAGCCCACAGTCATTTGAGAACAAGGGCAGGATACACCATCAAGTCCGGTATATGTTCATGCTATTGTGAGATGTGAAGGTAATTTTTTATTATTTTTTTAATATTCCTGTTGTCTCTTATTTGGCCATTCTCATTCTGTAGGATATTTAATTTTATCTTCTTCTTCCTCAACGCTTTTGGATAAAAGTTTGTTGATCTTATTTGGTCGAAGAGAGAGGGCTTTTGATTTTGTTCATCATTCAATTTTTTATTGAGATGTAAATGGTTTTTTATTGATAGATAATTCATGCGCTGTCAAACTTACCCTTTAAAGTGTCCAATTCACAGGTTTTTAGTATAGTCACAAGAATATGCAGCTGTGGGGCGCCTGGGTGGCTCAGTCGTTAAGCGTCTGCCTTCGGCTCAGGTCATGATCCCAGGGTCCTGGGATCGAGCCCCGCATCGGGCTCCCTGCTCCGCGGGAAGCCTGCTTCTCCCTCTCCCACTCCCCCTGCTTGTGTTCCCTCTCTCGCTGTGTCTCTGTCAAATAAATAAAGAAAAATCTTTAAAAAAAAAAAAAAAAAGAATATGCAGCTGTTACCACTATTTCTGGATCATTTTCACAACCCCAAAAAGAGCACCTACACCCATTGGTCACCACTTCCCATCCCTTCTTTCCCTGCCCTCCCTCCCCCCCTGGAAACCACTGATCTGCTTTCTGTCTCTGTGGATTTGCTACCCTGAACAGTTCATATAAATCATGCAGGATGTGGCCTTGGAGGTCTGGCTTCTTTCATTTGGCATTATGTTTTCAAGTTTCACCCCGTGGGTAACATGTATCAGTTGCCTCCTCCTTTTTATGGTGGAATAATATTCCACCGCATGGATATACCATATTTTGTCCATCCATTCATTAGTTGGTGGACATTTAAGCTTCTCCTTTGGGCAATTATGAATAATGCTGCTGTGAACATCCACGCCCAAGTTTTTGTGTGGACATATGCTTTTGGTTCTTCTGAGTATATACCTAGGAGTCAAATGGCTGGGTTCATATGATAAATCTCTGTTTGACTTGTTGAGGGACTGACACATTTTTTTCCACCATGGCTACACCACTTCCCGTTCCCATCAGTGAGATGAATAAGGGTTTCAATTTCTCCACATCCTCGTGGGTATGGAAAGGTATCTCATTGTGGTTTTGATTTGTATTTCCCTAATGACTAATGATGCTGAGTATCTTTTCACACATTCATTGGCATTTCATATTTTCTTTGGAGAAATGTCTATTCACACTTTGCCTATTTTTAAATTGGGTTATTTAAATTTAAATTTAAATTGTTGAATTGTAAGAGCTACATATACTCTGGTGACTAGACTTTATCCACCACCTTGGGACAATTCCTTTGGCTAAGATTTTACCTCTACTCAGAGAGAAGCAGCATTGAGAGGAGGAGTCTCCTGAGATAGTAATCCATTAGCCCGGGGCAAATGGAGGGGCAAAGGTTGTAGCCGTAAATAAGATGGGCATAGGCCAGCTTGCATGTGTTTTTATCAACTGTTTAACCCATCGGGGCTCTGGCCTTGTCTGGATTTTACCATCCCAACATCAAATATTTGAATCTTTGCTAAGTTTTCTGAAATAAATCCCAATTTTTAGTCCACGATCTTGAGGCTATTATTGATCCCTCTGCTCTACATTTGTGAAATGGAGATGATGTCCTTGCAGCACTGTCTTGAGGATTATATGATGTAATGTGTAGGAACACTTGGCTTCTAGCTAAAATATTTGATCCTCTTCCCTTCACTTGACTGTTTATTCTCACATTCTGCTTTCCAACATCTTAGTCTCTTATACAGATGCTCACTGTTTAAATATAATGAAGCTATTCTTCCACTACTGTAAATTATAAAGACCTTGGCTGGCCGGCTACAGGAAGAGGTACTTTGGTCTAGTTAGATAACTACATATAGGGGCGCCTGGGTGGCTCAGTTGGTTAAGCGACTGCCTTCGGCTCGGGTCATGATCCTGGATCCCCGGGATCGAGTCCCGCATCGGGCTCCCTGCTCGGCGGGGAGTCTGCTTCTCCCTCTGACCCTCCCCCCTCTCATGCTCTCTGTATCTCATTCTCTCTGTCTCAAATAAATAAATAAAATCTTTAAAAGTATCTTAAGTGGTGATAGTTTAAAAAAAAAAAAAAAGATAACTACATATAGACATACATCTCCAGCTTTCTAGGATCAGGTTATGTCCTACAAGGTTAAAAAAAGCTCTAGGTTAAAAGCTAGCCTGTTTCCTGATTGCATTTCTGATTATGGCTTGTTGTTTATCATTTATTTCCCATAGGTGTTGCTGAATGGACTTTTACCCCAAAGCTTCATTTGTTAAAAAGAACATTATTGACATAAAAGAATCCTCACTAGAGCTCCAAGGAAGATATACGGCTCTGTTTTTTTTTCTAGACATCTAATAGCAGCAAGCACATATTTTATTAAAAAGATTTAAAAGACCATTGTTTACAAAAATGACACAGGGAAATCTGAGTCACAATTTATTTCTAAAAAAATATAATGGGAAGAATAAGTCATACAGTAGACATATGAGGAGTTGAGAAACTTTTTTTTTTTTTTTAGTCAGTGTCTGAGATTATATCCTCCTTGTAAAAAATAATTTCACCATTTCAGGATAGTCTGAGAAGGAAGCCAATCAGCCAAAAAGAATTCTCTAATTTTCTTCAGCATATAATATCCATCCAAGGGAAAGGGTAATTTTAGAAAATTAAGAGCCTCATATCCCAAAGGGAAGGCAACCCCCCAAGGTGATATTTTTAGTTTTGTATATGGTTTCTCCTTTATGCATATAAAAGTTCTCACCTTCAAAAAGCCTTGAGGTACGGTTTGCTTTTAATTTTGTATCATTTTCATGTTGGTGTCACTCTGTGGTCAAAAAGCTTCCTCGCCCTTCATATGAATGAGGCCAGTTCTTCCTCAAGTGATTTCACTAAAGAGAACACTATTAGTCTTAGGCCTACCCAGTAGCCATCTAATCCATTCTGGTTACATTTACAAAGAATAGTCCTTAAATTCCATATTCCCATTGGAATTCTGTGCATTACCAAATAAATTAACCCTAACCTGATGAACTTTATAAATATAATGATTTGCAAGAGGGGCTTGACATTTCCTCTTTAAACCATGTCATTGTCACCTCGGACCCATTACATAATGGATCCCAGGCTATGGGAAGAAAACTCTCATGACTCTCATCTCCTGATGTTGCTTCTGAGCTGCTAGAGAGTTAAAAATGTAATTTCTGCCAATGAAAATTGCCTTCCCTGAAATTCAACAATTTCATGGTAACTCTCCATCCCTATTTAATTTTTATGTGCTATCATTTGGATAAAATTTCATGTAATATCATCAAATCAGTTCCCTTTGGGGCACAGTGATTTTCACATGGTCAACTCGATAACCATTAGGCAGGTATGTAGCTTGGTGTTTCCCAGAATCGCCATTTTTCCTTTCTTAGATTCAGGAGTATTTTCTACTAAAGAGGCAAGATACCTTCCAGATTTTAGAAAAAAGAATTTGTGGCTGGATTTGTTCCCAACTTTCACCACCCAAGCTCAACCTGCCATTCACTCATTTGCTACCTGAACGCCCACAAACCTAGCTCTGTTCTCCACCACCCCACCGAGAGCTCCGGAAATCCCACCTTCCTAGTGCTGGGATCCACTGAAGGCATGTAGACAGGTGGTGTTCTGACCTGACTGTGCATCTGACTCACCAGGAAACTTATTAAAACACACTGCTGATTCAGTAGGTCTGATGTGGGCTCAAGAATTTGTGTTTCTAACAAATGATGCAGATGCTGTTGGTGCAATGACCATAATTTGGAAACCACTGCATAAATCCCAGGGCATTAACCTCCCGCCTGGAAAGGTACTAACCTGTCTCAATACACACCAACTTCAGAGATAGAAAAGACTGGAAAAACAGCTAAAACCGTCAAGAACTCATTTGTGGTCTACACCAACTCTAAAGATGGTAGATTTTGTAAATCACTTGCTAAATCTGGCAGAGTCCCTGGCCTTCTGGATTCTGGACCTTGCTCCCTTATCTAGATTTTCAGAATTTTTCCGACTCCCTCTGCTTCACTGCTGGACTGCTTTTACCCTGGTCTCAGTATCATGGCATCATTGTTATATAACTTCTGACTCTGATAAAAGCCTGATGAAGAAAACCTTTAGTCCATTTTCTAAAAGCAGATGAAAACTGCTCCCCAGGTCAGGATTCCTCTACAGGCACAAGCCCCTTTAAGGGTTTAACATTTATTAGCAATTCAGTAAGTCCCTGTACATTTTCAACTGTCTCCAAACTCATAGGGAGGGGAAGTACCTGATATTAGCTTCCACTATGGCAAATACTTTAAGAGCTTGTGAACAATTCCAAAAGGCAAAATCATGCCCTCGGTGAGCTCATGGCTGCAAAAAAAAAAAAAAAAAAAAAAAAGGCTGTGTAAGGCCGGGACAAGGGATAATGTGGCTGGGAGTCACATCCTGCTGACAGCCCCCATAATCCATTTCTCCTCAGTCCGGGCCATTCACAGCACCCTCACAATACAGCTTAGGCTCTCTTGGAGTCCCTGGCACACAAGAGGTTGGCATAGGGCCCTGCAATTTTCATCATGGAGCAAAATCATGTACTGATTACCTTAGGACTTATGCTGTGGGTGAGATAGTTTGGGGAGCAGTCACGGACAATCTTTATGAAAAACAAACATCGCCCCCCCCCCCCCACGAAAAACCACCCCTTCTGAATTATCTTCTCACAACTAACACCATGATTTCAGACACTGCCAAAGCATATTAACAACTACAACTGATTTCTGGCAAGGAGTGCGGATGAAGCCCAAGTCAGAAGAACTTATGTTGGGACCCGGAGCTGGCCCGGGTTATATATGCAGCCCCAGCCTCTATGTGACAGACTCAGAGAGGAGAAAAACCCAACTCTTACAATATCCAAAATAAGCCTGCCACCCTGGCCCCTGAGTCCATGGAGAACACCATGTCAGCCATGCTCCCCACCCTCTGTTGTAGCTGCCGCCTTGACTCAGCTTGTCCCCGGTCACGTTTGGGGAAAGACAACCTCACACTGCAGAGCCATGAAATTCACTGGTGTCGGCCAAATGTAACAGGGAGACCCCTAGCTGCAAAAGCAAGGGTGGGGGTTCCCCTCAGGGTCTTCATTGCTGGAGGCAGGAAAGGCCAGAGAAGGGAGCGAGGCCCCCGTCGGTCCACACACAGACAGGAGGGAGTTGGAAGCAGCCCCTTCTGCTTCCCAGCACCATCTCCACCATCTTCCTCCCCCGTCATGAGAAAACCTCTCCCATCACCACTTAACTTTTGTTGACTGATTATACCTTAGGGTAAATGAACCCCCAGGCTTCATCTCAGCCAGGTAGTGACTTTTATCCGTCTTATCGCTGGGTACAGAATGAAGCAGCAGGTACCTGGAGGGCAAATTTGTAGGGAATACTTAAGAACTGTTTCCTGGAAACAGAGGGGAGATGGGAGGTGGGAGGCATGAGCCAGTGGAAAGCGGCACCCCGTAAACACAGACTGAGGGACTGGAGCCTCTAGGTCCCCAGCATAAATATCCCAACCATCGTGGGGCATCGGCCTGAATGCAAAGAGCCAGCCCTGTCCTTCCCCACCCACCCCAGTGCCTCCCAGCCAGATGCCAGGATCCCACAGCCACTTGGACACATGGCGGTGTCTCTGGTTATCACAAAAACTCAGGAGGAGGCCTAGCATTTCCCAGATTCTTTACTCATCTTTTCAAACCAGACGGAGGGTAGTAGGTCACTCTGTCAACGGCTCTTGCTGGGTCACACAAATGTCCAGTGATTCACCTCAACGAGCAGCTTCTGATAAACAGATTTGGAAAACACAGCTTAGGCCTGAGGTCACAATATAGGCTTTACCCTCAACCTACTGTGTCCAGGAAGTCAATGTAATGGAAAAGGATATAACCTAAAAATAAGGATAGCAAGAATTATGAACAGGGCAGTTTCCTAAAAAGGGAGTGTGAGTAAATCAGCAGTGATTGTCACCGTTGGTACAAGGACCATGACTGGAACCAGATATTTGGGTGGATGAGATGCAGTCACTTTGTGTTGCATTTACATGTCTGAGGGGGCTAACTCTTTATTATGAAAAGGTTCAAAAGAGAACAGTGTCATCAACTCTCATCACTTCAACCTTACATAATTCAGTATGTCATTTCTATAACATGACATTTTCTGACATAACCAGGACACCACTGCTGTCCTTAATAAAATTCCTTGATATTATCTGGCATCCCCAGTCCACATTCAATCCTGAGGAGCGACATGTTTTTATTTTATATAGAGTGCGAGAAAACTGATAATATTGGAAAATCGATTATAGTAACGCTGACTATAGATACCGAACAACCCTCAAAGAGAAACAAAACTTACGAACATTTGGTAATTAACACGAATCACAACAATTTATCCAACTGCTTGACACTGACCCCCCGTAACCACAGATCATAATAACGATCACGCATGTCATTAAGTGTTCACCGGATCAGAGTTGGAATCAAATAAACTATGCATGAAGAGTGAAGACATCTGCTTGCAACTTCAAAAGAAAATTGTTTGCTTCCAACAAAATCGAATTGACCTAAATAATCTGTGTTCAGACCCAGGGAAGTGTAGTTGATATCAGGAGCACCAGAAAACTCTGGGCTTCATCAAACTCCTACCCTCTCTCCTTACCTTTGCAATGATGCATTATGCCCTTAGCTAGCCGGGAAAAATGCTGACCCCCAAACCAACACGATGTCAGGAAACACACTTGTTCTGGCGTCTCTGAGAAGGAACTCTTTTTTGTATGCACGTGTTGGAGCTGGAAGGCAGGTTTTGCAAACTGGCTATTTAAGAGCTCCTCCCTACACGCACCTCGGTTTGCAGGACTGAACTTAGGTGAAGGGGCAGAAAACAGACCTTGAGCACGTTCCTTCTGTGACTCAGTTTGTCATCTGGGGGACACCGATGGCTCCGCCAGAAGGCTTTCTGCTATGCTACCGGAATACCTATACAACACATTTGCGTGGTCCTTTCTAAGTCCCTGTGTAAAAGGATGCACTTAGTCCAAAGGAAAAGGGTCCGACAAAAGGCGGGGGGGGAGCTCTGTGCACTTAAATCTTCCGGGGGCAGCTGGCCTTTGCCACGAAGGCTGCCCCAGACCTCTGTTCTCATCCTCTCCAGGCCTTGTGGCCACTTGGTTCTTTGGACACAGAACCTAGTGAACTCAAGGACCCCAACCTGCGCCAGGGGTCAACAGACTGGCTTAGAATCCTGGCAAAATAACCTCTGTAATGTTGACCGTAACTTCTTAGTGAGGTTGTAAGCATTAACTGGGCGGGTTTTGTTAAGTCACATTAGCCTTCTGCAAAAGAGGAGGCAGGAAGAGAGAGAAGGAAGGGAGGGAGGGAGGTGGGAAGCCAGGCAGGACAGCTGTGTTTGGAAATGGACTCTCTGAAACCCAAACACTGGTGAGCCTGTTCAAGACTTTAAGTCTGACAGCCCAGCGTTCTCAAACCATGGCAGCTCCTAAGGGAATATAATTATACTTAACAGAAACCACCTGCATTTTGAAGTTGCCCTAAATTTAAAGCTTCTGGGAGACTTAATTAAATTTAATGAAAACCATAGCTGCTCAACAAAGATGTATTGTAGCTCCCACTTAGTTATTCCTGAGGAAATTAAGTAGCAGTCACGAAGACCTACCTCAGCTTTCACATTTAAACCTCTGGATATTAACGCCCCAAGTCTATAAATAAGGTAATGCTCTCTTCTTTTCGTAAGCTAATAACGTTGTCAAACTACTCAATTGTTCCTGTAGCAAGAAAGGAAAACAGAACTAGAAGGGAAAAGCCGAGGAGAAAAGCAGGATGTACAGGAAAATTATCCTGAGTGGGAAACTACGTAATATCCTAACTGACTTCCCAGCCCTAAAGGCCCTCCGTCCTCCACTCCCCACCCCCAAGTGGCATCTCTTTGGTTTGTAAGAGGACTGTGTGTTATTTGCCATTTCAGAGCAAGTGCCCACTTCATGCAGATCAGGAGGGATACCTGTAAATCCCAGCACCAGGGTACGCGGCTTGCTGTGCTCTCGTGGGAATCTTAGAAACAGTGGTGATCCTGTTGATGGATTTTAGCAGTAGGCTGGTAGAGATACAGTAAAAGGTGACGCCAGGCAGAAACTTTTCTCCAGAACAAGGACAGGGAGAGGAGGAGAGGAAGTGGCCCAATCTGCCTTCAGAGGGCAACCAGACAGCCCAGGACGAGGTGCTCAAACATGAATGGTAGTCACATTCCCCTGGAGAGCTTGTTAACACACAGACTGCGGGAGCCTGTTCCCAGAGTTTCTCACTCAGGAGGTTGGGAGTGGGCACCCAAACTTGCCTCTCTAACAAATACCCAGACGCTGATACTACAGTCCACAGACCATATTCTTTTTTTTTTTTTTTTTTTTTTTTTTTTTTCAAAGACCTCACTTTTTTTTTTTTTTTAAGATTTTATTTATTTATTTGAGAGAGAGAATGAGATAGAGCATGAGAGGGGGAGGGTCAGAGAGAGAAGCAGACTCCCCGCCGATGCGGGACTCGATCCTGGGACTCCAGGATCATGACCTGAGCTGAAGGCAGTCACTTAACCAACTGAGCCACCCAGGCGCCCCCACAGACCATATTCTGAGAACCACTGATCGAAGACATAGTGTCTCCAAACTCTAGAAAACTGAGGCATTGTTTAGGAAATGTTTTGGTGTGAGGTCAGTCGGATCCAAAAGCAGAACACAGCATTGAGAAAACAAAGCCACCAATGACAGGAAGTAGGTGGCTAATGGCTGAGTCCCAGACATCTGCCCCATACGGTAGGCCCATCCCCATCAAGGGACAAATAAAGCCTCACCCTTGAAAGGCAACTAGGGATGGGTGGGGTCCTACATAGCCACTGTCCACCTGCTGCAATGAGATTAAGACCCTGGCCCCTAAGGGAATCAGGAACATGCTGTGGAAGGTCCCCAGGAGCTGAGGAATTAGTTTTGGAGATACTGCTTCAGGGCAAGTAAGCTGGGAGCATCTCCTACCTATGAGAAAGACCTGATCTGTCTGCAGGTGGGCTGGAACCTGTGTTCCCCCTCCTGGTATCAGAACCTACCCCCCACCCCACCCCCAGACAAGCCCATGCCCACAAGTGCCCCCAGATCTTTACAGCAAAAAACCTGAATCACTGAAGTCTACACCCATCTGCCTATATGGTTGGAGCATGGTCTACACCAACTAAATGAACGACAAGACACAAAACCATGAGGCAAAGTTACTGAAACACTTCCATACTCACTGTCATGTAACTCTTAAAACATCTCCGTGAGATGTACCAAAAGAACAAGCAAGAGAAGGGATTCCCATGCATCCCATGACTGGCCCTCAGCCCCACAACTGTGTGAAGCTGAGGCCAGCCTCATGGTTCCAAGACAGGCCTCTTGATGATACATCTACTGTTTTTTCTCATTAGACCACATTCCCTCCCATTTAAACGGGATTTGAACCAACTCTACAGAACAGGAGAAACTTAATCTCCCCTGCTTCCTTCAGCAAGAACCCAAATCAACAGATTATCCAGGAGGCATATTTCATCATTGCATTGAACTTAATAACATTTTGCACAAGCCATCACCCTAAGGAGGTCCCTCCCCTGCCTTAGGAAGAACAGAGTTCTCCATCACTGAGGTAACCAAGTAAAAGTTCCATAACTACCCACACCAGGAACTTTAAAAAGGGGATTGAAGCATCTGGTGGGATGGATATTGACAGATGCTATTGATTCTATTGATTCTAAATTTTCTTAATTTCTCCTTTAGGCTACTCATGAAAAACACACTCAATATCCCTATCACCCTCTCTGTCGCTTTTATGTGTAAAATGTTTCTGTGGGCACACTAATTTCAAAGGACAATGAAAGCTTGGTATTTTTGTTGCAACAGTGAACATAAATGACAATGGATTTTTTCATACTTGCCAGTTAGTTCATTTTTGATAAGTGGACGTACCCAGGAAGATATTTCTTACCAGAATCCACGGGTTTGGAATTCCAAAATTAGAATAATACTAGTACCTCAAAATCCCAAGTGGGTGTATTTCTTGTCCAGTGGCGTCTTTCCCATTTGGAAGTGTTTTCTTTTATCTTCTTCAATGTACTCTTTCTCCTTTTCTTTCTATTGTTCACACTGTAAAGTTTTAAAATGAATGTCCTGAATGTCCATACGCATCGACTCTGTGATGTTTGTTATAAAAGCCTGCAAATTTTTAATGGAATCATTTAAAAAATTCTGCTTGTTAAACCCAAGTACAAGTATGATGCATTAATATTTTAAGTGGAAAGCCCATCAAGGCAATGTGCCACATAGACTTAGGAGCTGAGCGAGCTGAGTTTGACTCCTGTCACCACTACATCCTAACTCTGTGACTTTGGCAAAGTTTCTTCTTTGGAAAAAAAAAAAAGTGATGAAAATTGCACATAAGCCACAGGAATAAAATGCAATAATGAGCGTGGGCACCAGCATAATGGATAAGGCAGCATTTTACAGCGATTAGGCACAAAGACTGTGTCCACATCCCAGATCTGCCGCCTGACAGCAATAGGATGGTGAGTGAGTGATTTAACCTCCCCAAACCTGTCTCCTCATTGTTGTAAGGGGGGTAATGATACTATCTACCTCACATGCTTGTGATGACAGGCTGGGAGGAGGCTTGTAAAACCCTTGGCACGGAGTGCTACAGATGGGAGGGAACTTGGACCCTGGGTCCCTTTCCCGGCATCCTCTTCCCAAGGGCCCTTGGGTCTTCTTATGCACATCTCTCCCTACCTTGGCATCCTAGGTGGCCCAGAAGGAGAAAAGACATGTAAGCTAGACGTCGAATCCTCTCCGAGAGAGAAGTGTCTTTGTTGAGGCATAGATAGCCACTGAAATCCTGGTCAGCTGTGAAAAGAAACACTCCGATGGGGGGCGCCTGAGTGGCTCAGCTGTTAAGGGTCTGCCTTCGGCTCAGGTAATGATCCCAGAGTCCTGGGATCGAGCCCCGCATCGGGATTCCTGCTCAGCGGGAAGCCTGCTTCTCCCTCTCCCACTCCCCCTGCTTGTATTCCCTCTCTTGCTGTCTGTCTCTGTCAAATAAATAAATAAAATCTTTAAAAAAAAAAAAAGAAAAGAAACACTCCGATGGCCTGGTTGAGAAATGAGCCAAACGTTTGTGTATGATAAAGTGGGACAGCATGGAGCTCCTGGAGGCGTGGGAGGTGAGCAGGGCAGATGTGAGAGGAGCCGGCCCATTTGGAACTTTCCAATGGTGGCAGGGGCCAAGGCACTCCTGAGAACCAGAATGTCTAGTACGTGCCATGAGGAGCCCGCTGGGCTGAGCCGTAAGGAAAGCCCTCTGTGTTAAAGCCCTCTGCTTCCATGGTGGCCTGCTACACATAATGACCTTGAGTGTGTGTGGTTTGGGGAAAACATCAACAAAAGTGAACGCGGAGATGTTATTAATCCATTTCAGCAACAGATAATCTCCTTCTTTCAACTACACCAATCAACTAGGTCAATACATTATTATATCAGGTAACTCGGATAACAAATTAATGTTCTTTTGAGGAAAAAATACCATGATGAAACTCATTCTTGGACATAGGAAAGTGGAATTAAATATGAGAACAGGCCCATTTGATTATCAGTACTTCTAAAGTTTTCATTTGCTTTTCTGTGTCTTGAACTGATTTTCTGGTGAGCTGAAACAAAGTGAACACAAAGTTAGAAAATCCGATGCCTTTACAAAGAATATGAGACTGAAAAATTTTTGTCGCTGTAGTCTAATTATTGAATGTGTGTTTAATTGTCACTGAATTTATGAAATGTAAATCGACTAAACATTTTAATCAACTTAATTTGGAGATTTTAAACCTGTGATTTTTACAAAATGGCCGCATGATAGTCATACTCCCTCAGCAATGCAACATGTTTATAAAAGTCATAATTTTACTTTCAAGATATACACAGACCAAGATGAACTACTGTATAGAACTTGAAATTAATAGACCATGTCTTATGTTTCTGTTTGTCTTTATAATAGAGCTATAAACCTAATTAAATTCAAGAGAAAATGTGACTGTCAACTATAAGATTTTATCAGGAAAAGGTAAATGGTATTTGTTTGGATATTGGGGTAGGGGTGATGGTCCAGAAGAGAGGAGTCCCTGAGGTATTGTGAAAAGGTATTTAGGGGATAGAACTTTAATACATAAAGGAGCTAGAGGAGATAAGCTAGGGACACATTTTCAACTCTGCAAGGAAAGTCAGAAATAAAAAAGGTCATAGGGACGCCTGGGTGGCTCAGTCAGTTAAGCGTCTGCCTTCGGCTCAGGTCATGATCCCGGGGTCCTGGGATCGAGTCCCACACTAGGCTCCTTATTCCTCAGGGAGCCTGCTCCTCCCTCTGCCTGTCACTTCCCCTGCTTGTGCTCTCTCTCTCTCCAATAAATAAATAAAATATTAAAAAATTTTTTCATCGCAACAAAAAATTATTTTTTTTTTAAAGATTTTATTTATTTATTTGACACAGAGAGAGAGAGACACAGCGAGAGAGGGAACACAATCAGGGGGAGTGGGAGAGAGAGAAGCAGGCTTTCCGCTGAGCAGGGAGCCCAATGCGGGGCTCGATCCCAGGACCCTGGGATCATGACCTGAGCCGAAGGCAGACGCTTAAAGACTGAGCCACCCAGGCGCCCTGTTTTTTTGGGGGGTTTTTTGTTCTTTTTTTTTTTAATTTTATTATGTTATGTTAGTCACCAGACAATACATCATTAGTTTTTGATGTAGTGATCCACGATACATTGTTTTCGTATAACACCCAGTGCTCCATGCAGTACGTGCCCTCCTTAATACCCATCACCAGGCTAACCAATCCCCCCTCTCCCCTCCCCTCTAAAACCCTGTTTGTTTCTCAGGTCCATAGTCTCTCATGGTTCATCTCTCCCTGGAGAGATGAAAAATGGGCCCCGCCCATTTTTCCCTTCCTTCTCTTAATGTCCTCCATGTTATTCCTTATGTTCCACAAATAAGTGAAACCATATGATAATTGACTTTCTCTGCTTGACTTATTTCACTTAGCATAATCTCCTCCAGTCCCATCCATGTTGATGTAAAAGTTGGTATTCATCCTTTCTGATGGCTGAGTAATATTCCATTGTACATATGGACCGCATCTTCTTTATCCATTCATCTGTTGAAGGGCATCTCGGCTCTTTCCACCGATTGGCTATTGCGGACATTGCTGCTATGAACACTGGGGTGCATATGGCCCTTCTTTTCACTACATCTGTGTCTTTGGGGTAAATACCCAGGAGTGCAATTGCTGGGTCATAGGGTAGCTCTATTTTTAAACTTTTGAGGAACCTCCACACTGTTTTCCAAAGTGGCTGTACCAACTTGCATTCCCACCAACAGTGTAAGAGGGTTCCCCTTTCTCCACAACCTCTCCAACATTTGTTGTTTCTTTCCCTGTCCATTTTGGCCATTCTAACTGGTGTAAGGTGGTATCTCAGTGTGGTTTTGATTTGGATTTCCCTGATGGCTAATGATGATGAACATTTTTTCATGTGTCTGTTAGCCATTTGTATGTCTTCTTCAGAGAAGTGTCTGTTCATCTCTTCTGCCCACTTTTTAACTTGATTATTGGTTTTTTGGGTGTTGAGTTTGAGAAGTTCTTTATAGATTTTGGATACCAGCCCTTTATCTGTAGTGTCATTTGCAAAGATCTTCTCCCATTCTGTGGGTTGCCTCTTTGTTTTGTTGACTGTTTCCTTTGCTGCGCAGAAGCTTTTTATCTTGATGAAGTCCCCAAAGTTCATTTTTGCTTTTGTTTCACTAGCCTTTGGAGATGTATCTTGAAAGAAGTTGCTGTGGCCGATGTCAAAGAGGTTACTGCCTATGTTCTCCTCTAGATTTTGATGGATTCCAGTCTCACATTGAGGTCTTTCATCCACTTTGAGTTTATCTTTGTGAATGGTGTTAGAGAATGGTCGAGTTTCATTCTTCCACATGTGGCTGTCCAATTTTCCCAGCACCATTTATTGAAGAGACTGTCTTTTTTCCATTGCATGTTTTTTCCTGCTTTGTCAAAGATTATTTGACCATAGACTTGAGGGTTCATATCTGGGCTCTCTATTCTGTTTCATTGGTCTGTATGTCTGTTTCTGTGCCAGTACCATGCTGTCTTGGTGATCACTGCTTTGTAATATAGCTTGAAATCAGGCAACGTGATGCCCCCAGCTTTGTTTTTCTTTTTCAACATCTCCTTGGCGATTCGGGGTCTTTTCTGATTCCATACAAATTTTAGGATTGTTTGTTCCAGCACTTTGAAAAATGTCATTGGAATTTTGATCGGGATGGCATTGAAGGTATAGATTGCTCTGGGTAGCATAGACATTTTAACAATGTTTATTCTTCTGATCCATGAGCATGGAATATTTTTCCATCTTTTTGTGTCTTCTTCAATTTCTTTCATGAGTGTTCTGTAGTTCCTAGAGTATAGATCCTTTACCTCTTTGGTTAGGTTTATTCCGAGGTATCTTATGGTTTTTGGTGCTATTGTAAATGGAATCGTTTCTTTAATTTTTCTTTCTACAGTTGCATTGTTAGTGTATAAGAAAGCAACTGATTTCTGTGCATTGATTTTGTATCCTGCCACATTACTGAATTGCTGGATGAGTTCTAGTAATTTGGGGGTGGAGTCTTTTGGGTTTTCCACATAAAGTATCATGTCATCTGCGAAAAGAGAGAGTCTGACTTCTTCTTTGCCAATTTGAATACCTTTTATTTCTTTTTGTTGTCTGATTGCTGTTGCTAGGACTTCTAGTACTATGTTGAACAACAGTGGTGAGAGTGGGCACCCTTGACGTGTTCCTGATCTTAAGGGAAAGGCTCTCAGCTTTTCCCCGTTAAGGATGATATTCACTGTGGGTTTTTCATAGATGGATTTTATGAGCTTGAGGAATGTTCCCTCTATCCCTAGACTCTGGAGAGTTTTAATCAGGAAAGGATGTTGTATTTTGTCAAATGCTTTTTCTGCATCAATTGAGAGGACCACATGGTTCTTCTCCCTCCTCTTATTAATGTGTTCTATCACATTGATTGATTTGCGAATGTTGAACCACCCTCGCATCCCGGGGATAAATCCCACTTGGTCATGGTGGATGATCCTTTTAATGTATTGTTGGATCCTATTAGCTAGGATTTTTTTTTTTAAAAGATTTTATTTATTTATTTGACACAGAGAGAGAGGGAACACAAGCAGGGGAGCAGGAGAGGGAGAAGCAGGCTTCCCACCAAGCAGGGAGCCCGATGCGGGGCTCGATCCCAGGACCGTGGGATCATGACCTGAGCCGAAGGCAGACGCTTAACGACTGAGCCACCCAGGCGCCCCTAGCTAGGATTTTGTTGAGGATTTTGGAATCCATATTCATCAGGGATATCAGTCTGAAATTCTTTTTGATGGGGTCTTTGCCTGGTTTGGGGATTAAGGTAATGCTGGCCTCATAGAATGAGTTTGGAAGTTTTCTTTCTGTTTCTATTTTTTGAAACAGCTTCAGTAGAATAGGTATTATTTCTTCTTTGAATGTTTGGTAGAATTCCCCAGGGAATCCATCAGGCCCTGGACTCTTGTTTTTTAGGAGGTTTTTGATCACTGCTTCAATCTCGTTACTGGTTATTGGCCTATTCATGTTGTCCATTTCTTCCTGTTTCAGTCTTGGCAGCTTATAGGTTTCCAGGAAGGCCTCCATTTCATCCAGATTGCTCAGTTTATTGGCATATAGTTGTTGATAATAATTTCTAATTGTTTCTATTTCCTTGGTGTTGGTCGTGATCTCTCCCCTTTCATTCATAATTTTATTAATTTGGGTCCTTTCTCTCTTCTTTTGGATAAGTCTGACCAGTGGCTTATCAATCTTATTAATTCTTTCAAAGAACCAACTTCTAGTTTCATTGATCTGATATACTGTGTTTCTGGTTTCTAATTCATTGATTTCTGCTCTAATTTTAATTATTTCTCTTCTAATGCATGGCTTAGGCGTCGTTTGTTGCTTTTTCTCTAGTTCTTTAAGGTGTAGAGTTAGTTGGTGAACTCGGGATTTTTCTATTTTTTTGAGTGAGGCTTGGATGGCTATGTATTTCCCCCTTAGGACCACCTTTGCAGTATCCCATAGGTTTTGGACCGATGTGTTTTCATTCTCATTGATTTCCATGAATTGTTTAAGTTCTTCTTTGATTTCTTGGTTGACCCAAACATTCTTTTTTTTTTTTTTTAAGATTTTATTTATTTATTTGAGAGAGAGAGAATGAGAGACAGAGAGCACGAGAGGGAAGAGGGCAGAGGGAGAAGCAGACCCCCCGCTGAGCAGGGAGCCCGATGTGGGACTCGATCCCGGGACTCCAGGATCATGACCTGAGCCGAAGGCAGTCGCTTAACCAACTGAGCCACCCAGGCGCCCTGACCCAAACATTCTTGAGCAGAGTGGTCTTTAGCTTCCAAGTGTTTGAATTTCTGCCAAATTTTTTCTTGTGATTGGGTTCCAGTTTTAGAGCATTGTGGTCTGAGAATATGCAGGGAATCATCTCAATCTTTTGTTATTGGTTGAGACCTGATTTGTGACCCAGTATATGGTCTATTCTGGAGAAAGTTCCATGTGCGCTCTAGAAGAATGAGTATTCTGTTGTTTTAGGGTGGAATGTTCTGTAAATATCTATGAGGTCCATCTGGTCCAATGTGTCATTCAAAGCTCTTGTTTCCTTGTTGATTTTCTGCTTAGATGATCTGTCCATTGCTGAGAGTGGAGTATTGAGGTCTCCTACAATTAACGTATTGTTATCAATATGACTCTTTATTTTGGTTAACAGTTGGCTTATGTAGATGGCTGCTCCCATGTTGGGGGCATAGATATTTACAATTGTTAGATCTTCTTGTTGGATAGACCCTTTAAGAATGATATAGTGTCCTTCTGTATCTCTTATTACAGACTTTAGTTTAAAATCTAATTTGTCTGATATAAGAATTGCTA